GGGTTTTTTGGTATTGTTTTTCTGCTTGTTTCTTTGTGATTTGTGTGTCCTTTGTAATGTAGGTGTGTTAGTACGATTCCAACAACACAATAATTAGATTATTTAGGTGGCAGGTTCACTTCCGACCCTGCCTGTAAGGGCCAACCTGGGGGATACCAAAAAAAAAATACATGTGTACGTCTCAGCAGAAAGGTTGAGATACTCAGACATAAATTTCTTCACACGCGGGAATCGAGTCCGGATCTTGCGCTTTGGATTGCAAGCTTGTAGATATTTATTTTTAAAAATGTGTTGTTCGGTCCTATCTCACATCTTCGTCCTCATCTCTTCTCCTTCTTCTTTTTTTTAAATTTACTTTTCTCTAGTAATACTTCTATTTTAGTCGATGTGAGATATTTGTGTTGCAAGCATGTGCCGTAGAGCTCTTCAGTTTTCCAAAAGAAAAAAAAACTATTAAAAAGGGAAGGACTTCCGTAACGAGCGACCACCCCAACAAACACAAAATAGAAGAGACCTAGATCTAACCCTAACCCTAACCCAAACCCTCACCCTAACCCTAACCCTAACCCTAACCCTACCCCTAGATCTACCCCTACCCCTACCCCTCTATTCTGCTCTGTCTCATAGTGGTCGCTCGTTACGGAAGTCCTCCCGTTAAAAGAACCATGTGTCTTAAGTGTAATGCGAAGAGCTTCATCAATTGTGTCCTCACGGGTGGCCGTGCGTGTGTGTGTGTGAGCTGAATGGAACACGATATGTCTTTGTCTAAAAGTGGCGTCGGTGGTCTAGTCGTAGGCTCTCTGACTCACATCCGTACGGTCATAGGGTTCGAATTCTGTAAGAGGCCCCACTTTTTGCCCTTGAGAAAGGTGCTTTACAGTACACAAATTTTCTTCGCAGCATCACCCAGGTGGGAACGGATACCTGGCTATAGACAGTGAAAGGTTATGTCAGTTTGTTAGTGTTTGAGCACGTGCAGTCCGCAGCTGGCTCTGTATGCTTTCGAGGAAACAGAGAATGTTTCTGGGTGTTTTACCTGGGGGGCGGGAGGGGGTGGGGGTGGGTAGATGGGATAATACCAGTTATACGTGCATAAAGCCTGATATACATATAGAACGTATATTATATGTGCTATACAAATACAATTAGTTATTATCATTATTATTATTATTATTATTATTACAAATATTATTATTATTATAATTGTTATTATTGTTG